TTTAATACACTTTTTCAGCCTTAAAAGGCACTTTTTTCTATTTTCATTACTTTTTTAAACCACTTTCCTTTCTTTCTAGGCGATGTATTAATCAACAGAAAGGTAAAAAAATACTCTAAATTATTTCAGTATTTATTTTGGCTTGATATCTACGAAATTACCAGAGTTCCAGCCATTTTCAATAAACTTGTATTAAGTTGAAAAGAAAATTAAAAATGGCCGCCGAGATAAAAAAAAATTGTGAGCCTTAAACTTTTTTTTAACTATGGCTTTGAACTCTCAAATAAATGTGGAATAACTGGTAAAAAAATTATAAAAATAAAAAATTTTAAGCAACATGGGCTTGGGCGATTTCAAATGGATCTACAATTCTACAATTTTTTACACATTAAGTCGCCATTTTGGGATTGTATTTTAGCAAATACCATGGGAATTATTTTGTCTATATTTATTTTTATACATATTTTATAGGCGAATAGTGAGGAGAAAATAATTAATGAAAAAACGTAAAAACTAATGCATCATGAGAATTTTTGAAAGTAAGATAATGATTATAAAAAACTAATAAAAAAAAGTTTCTATGTTTATTAATTTCACCTCCTTGGATAAAATTTTCAACACACGAATCTTCCCTTCAGTTTTTGACATGGAAATAAACAGTAGATGTTTTCTACCCAAATATAAAACTGAATGAGGAATCTTGAAAATGCCATTTAAAGTCCGTAGCGTGTATCAAGCAAACAGTTGTTGAGAATATTGTCCAATTGAAGCCCTACCTCGCCTGTTCTGTTTTGTGTTCAGTGCACGTCCCAGCCGTTCGCTCTTCCACGGCTCCGCTTGTTTCTATGGTTCAGTTCTAACTTGATTACTCAGCCAGTCAGGTATCCTCTTCAATCTGTCTTGTGTAGTCTCGTATCTAGGGCATCTAACAAGTAGTCATGGCGGTCTGAACTTTAGGATTGCAATAATAATAACAATAACAATAAAATGCTTAGCAAACCCGAAGTTTCGGTGCCGACAACATCAAGGCGGGAGCTATGTAGTTTTGTCACAGAAAATAATCAGCATAACTCTCCTTCAACCTAATTTTAATCTCGTCTTCATTTCGTTTTTTTTTTTTTTTGCTTTCTCACTACCGAAGGTAGGGAAGCATTGTGTTCGTGCGAGAAATTAAAAAAAATTATTTGCTCAGAATCGAAAATTTTCACTCGCGTTTTACGTTTCAGACATCAAGGATCAAATTTGGTTCGGTGTCTGTCTGTCTGTCTGTCTGTCTGTCTGTAGTCAAATCGATGTGACGGGCATATCACCTAGTACCGTTCATCCAATCTTCATGAAATTTTCATGGATTATGCTGATCGGTGCCTAGATGGTCTCATATCAGTTTTATCAAATTCCACCCAGCACTTCCGCTTACGCACGCGCAAACGTATATTTTTAGATATGCCAATATTTCAGAAAGGGCTCGTTCGATTTGGCTCAAAGTTAGATAAAAGGTAGACTTTGGTGAAAAAATAATATAGTGTCAATTTCATTGAATTGCGTCCAACACTTTCTCTTATATGTGCACTACTAGTCCGCCGTCCGCCGTCCGCGCATTTTTTCTGAAACTACTAGACCGATTTTTTTCGAATTTGGATATAAAATCAGAGGTCACCCGAGGATCATACTCCTTCAACGACATTACTATTCGCCTTCTAGTTTCAAAATGGCGGCCGAAAAACCTGCGTTGCTATAGACTGTAGCGCCTAAACGAACGAACCGATTTTGATGAAACTTCGCTAAAGTCATTTTCTCTACGACCTCTAAATTTATTTATACTACATACTTCAACGAAAAGAAGCTCAAAAAAAGTTACGAGGGATGGTAAAATTAAATTACGAATAACTCAAGAAGTATACACATTTATGTCAATATTGTATATGGTTTTTTAGAAGTTTACGGAATTTCTTAAAAAACAAAAGAAAAATCGTCAAAATTGGACAATTAGGAGCAAAGATATCGTCTCTAGTTTTTTTTAGATGTTCTATTGCAAAAGGTTTATCTTTTTTTTGATTTCTGAATGTGTTACTGAAGTAATGCTATTTTTTTTATCATATTACTAATGATTAAAAAAGATTTTAGTCCAATAATTAGAATCACCTTTTATTTATTTTTCTTTATAACTAGGAATTTAATGTTACTTTATATGTATAATTGTTTGGAAATAATATACGAAAGAGAAATAATTTGCAGTGGTTTTTTTCAAATTGATTATCGTTATATATATATATATATATATATATATATATATATATATATATATATTTAAATCTTTCGTGCTGAAGCCCCTCCTCCAAAATTAAATCTTGATTCTGTAATGTATATACTATTATTAGAGCATAAGTTCGTATGTAATAATTTTCAACTTTAATTCTATGTGTATTAAAGGTGATATTTTGTAGTCTGCAACTGATATAAGTAGTCTGCTACTATGGAAAATAGCAGATGAAAATAAAATATGAAATTATTCTAATAAAGCATAAAGAAATATTGAATTTTTATGCACTCTTGTAAAACAATAAATACATTAATACATAAGACCTTTTGAACTAACAGTATTGAATTTCATGTTCAGTATGCATTTTTTTTTTTTTTTTTTTTACTAAGCATAATCAAGTATGGAATATTCATATACGACCCTCTGTTGTTGAATGTTGAAGGGTAACTGTAATCACCTATTCCGATTCTGCTTCTCTCAGAGATTTTATTCTCATTCGAAAAATTGTATACCTTGTAATATACAACGGAAATGGTGAGGAAGCTATACTGACCTTACTTGGCAGACGGTTTTTTCTTACTACTTATTGCCGAACCAATATACCTAAAATTCTTTACGTGTTCAAATATATTCCTACCTAGGACTCCACCTGGACAAACGTCTAACTTGGAATCCTCATACCAGACTGAAACGACAAGAAACCGCTCGACGTTTCCGACTACTTCAACACTTACTAGACAAACTCTCTAACCTTCCAATTACTTACAAAAGACTCATATACTTGACTATAATAAGACCTATTTGGACTTACGGAGTTGAGCTATGGGGCTCCACTAAACCATCGAATTCCTCTCGCATCCAATCCTTACAATCCAAAATCCTTCTAAAAATCCTCAATGCTCCTTACTCTGTCACTAATAAAATTATCCATGAAGATCTTAATGTTCCTTATATATCAGATTTGGCCCAATCCAGATATCTGTCCTTCCATAATAAACTTCATAACCATCCCAACCCTCTTGTTTCTAACCTTGCTTCCTATTAAATTCCTGATAACCCCCCGAGGCGTCTGAAAAGAAGACGGCCACGTGATCTCCTAATATAGACATATTATTAGAGTGCTACCAATGGGTAGTTTCTCAACATGTGTTTCAAGTCATTATATCCATGTGCGAATTTACTAGATTATTTTTTTTTATACAGTTGCAAATATCATATAAATATATATATATATATATATATATATATATATATATATATATATAATATATATATATATATATATATATATATATATATATATATATATATATTCCCGTCTAAATCGATACATCCGAAATTTTCGTCGTTTTTCTCGTCCGTATTTATTCATGCCCTAGTTCTTTACCGGCTTTAATTTTCGTTGTTGTATTCAAGTAAATTTTATTATGTAATCTGTAAACCCTTGGCAGGTCGGATTAACACTGTTCGGCGCGGGCCGAACAGTGTTACGTAATTCGGAGACCTCTGCTGTAAATGGAACAAAGGACACAGTGAACAGTACTTCCATCCTTCAAAAGCTGGCCAAGGATAATGAGCAATCGATGTAGACTTCTTCTCCCGCTCATTATCCTGGCCGGCCTCTTGACGGAAGGAAAAACAGTTCAACGCATCCTATGTTCCATCTCCAGGATACTTTCACCATCCCCTCTCTACCTCTTTGGACAATGGCGTTCTCTATGAAGGACTGTCTGATTCAAGGGAGAGGAGGGAGGGAGGAGGAAAGAGAGGGAGTAAGTTCGGGCAGAAGACTCCCACCGCTCAGAATTGATTTTTTTTTTCTTATTTCTTTTTTTCTATAAGGGATCTGAACTCCATACTTAAAGAATCACAATAAGTTCTACTTTTAAATTATAACGCATGCCCCTAAATAAAATCCATAATAATAATATTAAATAAAAAAGGCCAGCTTCCAAAATTAAAATCCAGAATCCACTATTGCTATATACATACACTTTTTGGGGGGTTGGCTCTATGGACGATGTGCATCTTTGGCCATTCAAAGTATCTTACGTCCATAGACTATGGGAGAGAGTCACTCAACTTCACGGAACTACGGATACGTAGACCACCCAGAACTCCATAACCGACCCTCTTGGAGCCAATCTGGTAGTGTCCATCTCTCTGATTCATATGTATTCATGGATAGGGATAAATCTGTCCAGATTCATGAATTGTGACTGTCAGAGTTATAAGGCGAACGAGGATCAATTTTTGTTCCTCTGAAACCAAGGGACCCTGGACCAAACAACCGGGTGGTTGCTGAAATCCTAGAAAACTACATCGCGATTCCGTATTTAACTATACAAAGTGAGGGGAGGATCTCGTAGCTGCGCGGTATGCTCCTGTAGACGGTCACTTATTCAAGTACTTACTACACTCCACTAACGGATCCAGGATTCAATTTTGGGATAAGGTTCAGCCCGAAAGATTTTTTTTTTATGTATATATTACTATAGTTACTTTGGAAGAAAGAAAGAAACTAAGTACCTATATGAAATGGTGTTCAAGTGATTCTTTAAGTCCTATTAAATGTAATTAGACGAACAATAATATGCTTATATTTTACCATTTGGGGGGAGGGGGTCTTCAGCACGAAAGCTTTGTGTTTAAAATGTTAGAATGAACATCACACAAAAATATGAAATAGGAAACTTTTGTCTAACTTTTATTTAGACTGTTAATTATTGTTTTCTTTCAGGAAGGGATCTCTGGGTTATGGTAGTTTCTTCCTCGCCATACGAACACATGATTGGAAAACCAGACGTCAAGTACGTGGCCAACATGCACGGAAATGAGGCTGTCGGAAGAGAATTGATGCTTCATTTGATACAGGTATTATTAATTTGGAATTAAAACATGTTGATGCGTATAAACATATTTTATCACCAAACACCAAGAGCTCTTTACATCTCCACCCTCATATTCGATAGAACGACTCTCCTTCGCCCATGACAACCTTCGTCGGTAATCACTTAAGATCTCCCCTTCACTCGTCCTGGCCAGATGCCCAGTCGAGATCATTTAATTACCGCCACGACGTCACCAAAGAGGTTGTACATTTCTTCGTTTCTCTTCCGTCTCCCACTTTCACCAAAGAATACCGTTCCAAATATCTTTTCAGAGAATACTACGTTAAAATCTAACCAAACTTTGTTATATATCTTAGTCATTGTTCAGGTTTTCACACCATACTAATGGCCAAAGCGAATTATAGTTATTATCGTGATATTGCTAGTATAAAAAAAATATTTTAAACATTGGGAGCTTATACATTATCTTTTAAGCCGAGATCATACATTTCAAAAACACAGAGGTTCTTTACACGTTTCTGTATTTCCAGAGAAAAAAAAACAGAGCAGAAGTTTGGAATCGCATTTACTCTAATCCATTATAAAGCTTACCAAAGGACCTAAAATATTATAGAGGTACAGACCTCTTTTTATCAAATTATTAATATTGGTCTCAAACATTGTGAATGGTTTTATCTTATCCTAACCTATAACTTATTTATTTACGAAAATTCTCAGTAATGGAGCGTTTTCAACTTGGAGATCGGTAAACATTTTCTATTTCATGAGGTACTGAAAACACACGAACACACACTTGTCTTCCACTTTGAACGATATTTTAATTACAAAATCGAAAAAAAAAAGTGGCCTGCAAAAATATTGGGCAGTTTGTCGTGACCTCCATTCCCAAGAAGTCCGTTATCATCAAAATAATGAGGATACATGGTCCAATATTTTTGTAGACCACCTTTTTTTTCTCTTACAATTTACAAGAAAATGAATTAATTTAATGACAAAACGCCCCAATTTTGAGAATTTTCTAAGATAAAAAAGCTGTAAGTTACAAAGTTTACGAAGTCATTCACAAAGTTTTCGACTGATATTAATAATTTGACAAAAAGGGGTCTGGCTAATATGAAAGAAACCGTAAAATTTGTCAAATAATACGGTGGATGACAAACATTTATTTAAATCGTACCAGCGCTTAACCAAACTCCCTTTGATTTATCTTAAAAAAACACAGCAGATGGTTCAAGCTGTGATTTTATAAGATAAAAAAAGAATAATAAAAATAGGTAAAAGAATGAAGTTGAAATTGTAAGTTAAAGAAAGAAAATACATAAAACAGAGGTCGAATTGGGAATTAATTCTTTTAATGCAGAACAATTATGGTCTCAGTGATTAGCGAGATAGGCAGAGCGATCTAGCGGTTCTCTAGTATAACCTACAAGTTATGTAAACAATCTCTATTCCAATCATTGAACCATAATTATTAAAAACATTTCTTTCAGGTGCGAAAAATCAGTACATCTCCAAAAAAAATGAAAGAAAAAAGTTATATGAAGTATTTCTTACAATTTAAATTCTAATTATTAGAGTGTTACCAATGAGTAGTTTCTCTTCAAGTGAATATATGTCATATTATCAATTTACATTTACTTGTTGTATTTATAGTTAGTACAGTTGTAAATTTCAATAAATAAATATAGAAATATAAATTATATATAACAAACCTAAATAAAAATAAAAATAAAAATCGAGATTACACCTGTGTTAGCAAAGATACACCATCTAATAATCAAAGAGAAAAAGAAATGTAATTACTTCCTTCATAATACATTGCTTTTACTTATTTTCCATATAATTTTTATTTATTCGCTGACTGACATACAATGCAAATTATCAGCACGGGCCAAATAGTAATGGAATACACTTGATTAATTTTAATAACTATTATAGAAATTTATCACATATAAACAGTTCCATCTTCATAAAGAAATAATTCGCTTTTTTAACAGATAACTGACTCATTGCATGGACAAACTAAATTGTGGGTTTAATGAAAAATGTCATAAAGTATCATTTTATAAAATTAAATCAGTAAGTACTTTTTTCTTTCTGTGAATAAGAACATTTTCAATATATTGTAACTTTTTTTTTATGGATAAAAGGTTTCGTATCATTTAGATGCACTTACTGTGATTAAGCATCAATAAATAAATTCGAAATACATAAAAATGAAAGTTTGGCACCGTCAAAAATATATTTAGTGACTTTTTGTAATTAAACAACGAAATCTGAGAATATTTTTTTATAATGAAATATATAAGGTAAGAATGACAAATGAATAAACATGTGTCAGTTCTATATATTTGTATTTAAAAACCTGTAATACTTCAGACTAATTAAAAAAACTAGTTTTTCTTTATACATTATACAAATTCAAGATCTTATTAGATTCTTTAATTTTTTCATCAAATAAATTCTTTATAGTTTAATATGTATACTTTTACTTTTAATGTCTAATGGTTGTCACTATACAGATTTTTAAAAATTAAAATAAATTGTTTATAATTGACTAAAACAATAAGTTTTCAGAATAAAACAAATTGTTGAAGCTTTTAAATTATATTTATTTAATATTATATAATAATATTAAACATGTAATATTCTAAACTACCAAGAAATCTAACAATATAAATTCTAGGAGTCCTTTTCAGACCCTAGAAAATCCCATTTCTTAGGCAAAAGGTTTTATTAGCCCCGAGAGGGCTTGATCTAAATTCAGTGCTGTATGTAAAGTGTGACCCCGGGGTCTGGATTGCAAGGATATAGAAGGAAAATATTTTGCTCAATTTTTTTTTTTTTTTGTTATACGTATTCTTTGAAATCTTATTCTTACGATTAAGACCAATTATTAATGAATGAAAATAAAATTTTAGCATATTAATATCGAAAATATTTTTATTAGACATAATAATTAAAAACTTTGTAAAAATCAAGTATTAAAGATATTTAGAAAATAATTATTTAAAGGTTTGGGATGGATAGCCCTTTGTCACAACAACTGATTTAGATAACTTTAACTTATCTTTCAGAGTGTTCAGTTACGTAAAAGAAATATCAGAAATAATTTGATCTGAGATAAATTTATGGAAATATAACATACTGCAATCATATTATTTATTCATACATTTATTTTAGAGGATTTAAATAGACAACCCATAAGAGATTAGAATATAATGAAACATGCAACATCATAATGACAAGTCATTTTATTTTTTAAATAATGATAAAATAAATAAGGAAAAACAAATAATAACAAGTTTATGATAAATATATGTTTAGTGAAAGAATAAAAAGTGATTATGACAATCCATCAGAAACACTCAAAATAAATGGATGAATAAATGATATTTTTTAAGCTTAAAGCTTGTTATATTTTCAGAACTTTATGCTAATCAAAGATACAGAATCTTTGATAAGTATAAGTGTTTCTCATAATTATTAGAAATATATATTTTTTTTAAATGAAACATATCAACTGTATTTATATGTATTTCTTTTCTTTTATCATTTACTGAAATTTACATCTATATAAATAAAACACAATAAATAAACATGAAAATAGCTTTTGAGGCAACTAACGAATGGTAGTACTTAAATGATTATTTAAATTTAAGAGGTATCTTAGCCATCTTCTTTTCAAATGCCTTCGACGGTTAACAGGAATAGTTTGGGATAAAAGATTATGAACTTGAGGGTTCGAAGGAGTAACCAAGGAGTTTGAAATTGCAATAGGAATATCTATTTCGGGCAAAATCTGAAAAAAATTGGAATATTGAAGTCTTTATGGATCATTTTATTTATGACCTAATAAGGAGCATTCTACAGAGGATTTTGAATTATAAGGATTGGATAAGCTCAATGGCCTCAAAGCTCAATTCTATACGTCCAAATGTACCCAGTAATGGTAGTGCACAAGAGCTTTTTGTTGTATATTGAAAGTTCAGACCATTTGTCAAGTAAGTGTTTTAGTAATCATAATCTACGGGTTTTATAGGGATGAGGGGAATATTCATAAAGGATTCTGTAGAACAGGATGAACTAGATTTATGATGAAGATTAAATGTGATTTGATTGGATTTATATGTAATATTTAATAATAATTTTAGTTTATAGTCTTGACCTTTCTTCATTAATTATTTTCTTTTCACTTCTTGCCCATAGACCTAATTTAATGAAATAAAAATTCATAATTTATACTATTTTATTTATGATTTTCATTTGAACATTGTGGTGATATTTTATCCTTCCTTTTAGCATCTTGAATTATATAAATAATACTGATTTCTTTTTCTTCTTATTTTATATGAGTTTAGATAAGAATTGTAAGAAAAAGCTACTAGCTGTCCAAATAAAAATTATTTATGAAACATTATTAATTAAGTGTGTTTATTATATTAAATTAGAAATATAGGAATGAATTGAGGAGAAAATAAATAATTCTAGTTCCTCATGGGTGATACATAGTCAGGACGCAGTCAGTTATTATCATTTTTATTGCCAACGTTTCAACCTAACCTTGCAAGTCGTCATCAGGTACTAAGCTTGTGAATCATCATAAGGTAATGTTACCAGCACTGATGATTACTTACAAGCTTGGGTTGAAACGTTGGCAATGAAAATCTTAAAACTGACTATCAATCGGCGTCTTGACTATCATCCATGATATGTAGAACAGTCTACTAACTTCATCCAATAATTTCAGTTCCTCATTACTAAGTTCAAAATTTAATGATGATAATTTGAAATATTATAGCTTTGGCGTTAAAACTGAATAAATATCATATTACAGTGCTTTGTTTTATTTTTCAGTATCTCGTGAATAGTTACAATGATGATCCATACATAAAATGGTTACTTGATAATACAAGGATACATATTCTGCCATCTATGAATCCCGATGGATTTGAAGTAGCGAGGGAAGGGCAATGTGAAGGAGGGCAAGGAAGGTAAGGAATATGTTTTATTAATATAGAATACTCCGTGGCCAAGAGAAATAAGCAAGTTCCTAAACTCAATGCTGAGCTCATCGATGGCATTGTTTTGCCCAAATTAGAGAGAAATCCGATGTCATCGATGAACTCAGAATTTAGGAATTTGCCCAATGCTGAGTTGGATTTGATTTTCCACTTCCACAATTCTTCAAAACTTTAACTAATTATTTATACATAATAGGTCTCCACAATGGAACTGAAATTAATTTACTTTAGACATTAATTCCTTTGAGTAAAAAATGTAAATCATTGCATAATTTTAACTTCAAAGAGACACGTGTCCAACAGATTTTTATTAGTGAAAAAAAATTCCAAAAACAGAAACAGCACATTACCAAGTACTAAAATTTGACAAGAGGATGACCTGGAACCCACATATTAAAATGAAAAAAAAAACCTTAAACAAATGACTAAAATTACTTTAATATCTAAATTCCAAATCATCAAAACTGAAAATTACACTGATATACACATGACCTACTTAAACCCATACAGATAAACTACTCACAGATTTATGGTTCGCAAAAAAAAAGAAGCAATTAAAAACTACAATCTTTTCAATCCAAAATTTTAAGACTAATGCCAGACGCTTCCTGGTTAGTAAATAATAAAACTCTACAATGTGACTTTCAACAACCATCGACCAACTCATAGAGTTTATTTCCTTTTCTACAATAAGCTTCACTGATATAACAACCGACTAATTAACAAAACGACTGCAGCTGGCATGCCCATTAGAAGGCGATTAAAAAGGAGCTGGATATGAGACCTCCTTTTATGAATCAAGGGACTTAATCAAGAATGGGAAGAGGTGCTGCCTTGTACTACCCTACCCGTACTTGTAATGCCATAATAATAATTTTTGAGCACATTTGCTTATTGTCACTTTCTTCTGTTACAGGTATGAATAGAGAGAAAAAAAAAGAAATTAAATAGAAATTGATATAGTACTTTTTGTTTTTAATTAATTGATTGTTATAATTCCTCTTATACCAGACTCTTCTCGATTGAATAAATTCATTGCTTAATTCAATTTATTCGTTATGATTTTTTTAGGTATAATGCTCGTGGTTTCGACTTGAACCGAAACTTTCCAGACTATTTCAAACAGAATAATAAAAGAGGGCAGCCTGAAACCGATGCTGTCAAAGAATGGACTTCGAAGATCCAGTTCGTTCTTTCAGGGGGCCTCCATGGCGGAGCTTTAGTAGCCAGTTATCCTTTTGATAATACACCCAATTCAAGTAAGCTCTTCTCATAAATATATATATATATATATTTATTTTACCATAAAAACACTCAGTATTAATATGTATTCAACAAAAAAAAAAAAAAAAATACATTACTAACAATGTTTTTTAATTCATATTCTTATCTTTTCAATGATCCCAATAGGGATGTGCAGGTCTTCACCGTTGTGTTCAGGTAAATATTTTCTATCCATAGTAGGACAGTTTGTATATTTTTATTTGCATAATATACAAGAATTTAGTAGTGCTAGTAGTGATAAAATGTAGTTATTTCATGAGGATAGATATGGTACATGGTGTGGATTATAAATTATTTCAAATAGAGCAAACTATTTTATGGAACCTTCGTCTTGACTAAATTTGTAGGGCTTCATCAGAGCTACAAGTCTAAGTACCTCTAAAGTGGTTCGAAACATTGTTTCAATAAAATAGTTTACAAGTATTTCAAATTATTTAAGACCTGAAATAATTATGACTGAACCATCACCAGGACCACCTCTCATCATAAACATGATAAACTATGCCATAAAATATAAATTTATAAAAGTTGTACTTTTATAAATAGAAACTTAGTTACAAATATATAAAATAAATATAACATGAAGAACAAAATAAATCACAAAAAATATGCTAGTAAATTTGATCTTATCTGACCTTCTTTTTAAGAAAATGGTGATAAATTAATATTAGTGAATTGAGGAGAATATATCTCATACAACTTTTAACTATTAATACTCTTATTGTGTCTTTATTGCAAAAAGTCATTAAATAACATTTGATACAGCTAAATATGGTGCTATGATGCACTTATTATAACAATATTAAAAGGTAAGGTGACCAGACATCCTGCTTTGGGCAGAAGAGTCCGAATACATAAAGATACCTGAGGATAATAGTTGCACCAGAATATCATTATGTAAAATAAACTATGGTAACGATAAATTTGGACCAAATTGTTTAACAAGGCCCTACCCTCCCTCTCCTCCCCCCTCTGGTCAATGGTGTACTATTTTACCAATGTCATAAAAGGGCTTGTGTCATTTTGAAGAATTTGATGTGTTTTTCTATCGGTTTATAAGATTGAAATTCACAAACACATATTAAAAAGTTTAGTTGCTTCAAAAATCTACATAATGACTTTTTTTTAATAAACTAAGATCCAAACTATGAAATTGAAACCAAAAATGAACTCAATACAGATGTCTTAATTGTTAGTAAGAAAAGTTTTTAGGGCAGATCCTCATAATTCTCAAAACTACATATAACTCAGCTTAATACATATGATTAAATGCTATAGTAAGGCAAATTTACTGAAAAGGAAACTAAAGTGATTTTTTTTTTAGTTTCTATTTGAATAAAATATAGATGTATATTTGATTATTAAACATTACAGTATAAAAGACATTTATTTGGAAAGTTTAAGGTGTAAATCCAAAAAGAGTAATGAACTAATTTTTTTTTTAAATGATACTTTTTCATCCAGAAATAGGGAATGCTTATTTTGCATATTATGTCAAATAAATCTCAAAGAAGCTATATATATAGTAATAAATTATATTTTATTTTATACATTTATGAATTACTTCTTTATTTAAAGTGTGGAAAATAGAATAAAACCAAGCTGCTTACCTGTTGAATTTTTCAAGTGAAGATTCTTATTCATAATCCACAGTAGCTCCACCAACAATAAGATGATTTCACTTCGTATTAATTTCACTATTAACTAACACTATTAACTTAACACACCATATTTAAAAACTTAATTAAGAACATGTACAAAGTAATATATAGGAAAACTGAAAACTAGTAACTGATTCCCTCCTTTTTTTGCAGAAAAACAGTGTTACCACAAACATTTTATCCAAAAAAATGAAGTTGAAACTCATTTTATAAATTTTTGGTTTCATAAACTTTTTAAAATAAAGTTTTGAGAACCATATTTCAAAAATATATATAGGAAATTAGTTTGTTAGGTGTGTTGCATCTATTAGAATAATTCATTTTCAGTTTTATAATATTTAAAATAAAAGAGAATACTCTATATAGGCATTTATTTCTATTTAGATCATTTAAATAGATTCTTGTTCTGTATTTTATTAAAATATACATTTAAATTTAGTTCAAACAACCTAAAATATAGAAGAAACCAAAATCAACCTTACACAGCCAATGTTATTGAATCAGTAATATTGAAGCAATATATTGAATGTAGTATCCATGTTACAAATGTCATGTAATTGTTACAATATATTTCTCAGGTCAATATAATTGGTATTGACTGTGAAAGGGCCTCTTAAGAAATTTAGCATTTATTTTAAATATAAATTATCTCCAAGCAGTATATGACTTTAATGGAAGTTTTGAGCCTATAAATTAAAAAAAAAAAAAAACATTACCTCCAAAATCTGACAGAAATTATACTTTTTTAAGCATGAACATAATTAAAATGAAACAGTTCAGATTTCATTTTACAATTATGATCATTATTCTGATAGTTGAAATTAATTATAAACTGAAATAAAGTTTTTTCATCTATTTGGCGTATAATGAGGAGATAGGAGATATTAAAACAAAATGAAATAACATTTATAAATAAATATATGGATTGCCATTTTAAATTTGGGTTTTAATCTTTACTCATAAATATATTTTTTTTTTATACAATGAAATATTTTTATTTAATTAGAGATATTATTAACAGTGTTTCAGAGTTATTCATCATCTCCTTCATTAACTCCAGATGAAGACGTTTTTAAGCACTTGTCTCTCGTTTACTCGCAGAACCATCCAACTATGCACAAAGGAAGAGCTTGCAAAGCTGGAAGTCCAGCATTCCAAGATGGAATTACTAATGGTGCAGCTTGGTACCCGTTAACAGGTATTTCTTTTAAAATTTTAGTTTATAGTAGTGAATTAATAAAAGAATCCAAGTTATTTGAATATATTAATTCATTAAATTTTAAATTATTTTATTAATCTCTCTAAAATATTATGCTTATGACTAGACTATTAGATTTTGAGTATTTATCATAATTTAGGCAAATCTAAATCCTTATATTATTCATCATACAGAAACATTCTTATTCATGTTTTAATTATTTTACTAAGGCGGAATGCAGGATTTCAACTATGTCTGGTATGGATGTATGGAGATAACTTTGGAACTTTCATGCTGCAAATATCCACCAGAATCTGACTTGAAGAAGTATTGGGATGACAACAGATTGGTAAACAGTCAACATTTTTTTATAATAATATCTATAATTTTAAAATATTTAACAAATTTAATCTTTACAGCCATTAGTGAAATTCCTCGCTGAAGCTCATAGAGGAGTCCAAGGTTTCGTTCTTGATGAAAACAACAGCCCTATTGAGAAGGCTTCTTTGAAGATAAAATCGAGAGATGTTGGGTTCCAAACAACTAAATATGGCGAATTTTGGAGAATTTTGTTACCTGGTGTCTACAAACTTGAGGTATTTTATCTGATAATTTGATCCAAGGTATTTTATTTATTATTTTATTTATAATAAGCCAAAGGACCTTTTCTCTGACCACCATGAAAACCAAATACATCTTTCATATATCAGTTGATCTAATACAATTGATCTCCATATATCGTCGGCACCATGTTTAAGTATCAAATGTGAATTTTCCCAATGTGAACATTCGATTATGATTATTTGTTACTATATGTACATATCTAACAGAGATATAAATTCATAGGAATTAAATTACTCATTTCGGTCACCATTCAGATTCAATATTTTGCTACAAGGGTATGAAGCACTATGGTAAAGGAACGTAATTAATAAATGTGATTTTTTATATTTGTTACTTTAACATAATGCCAACGATGTGTACCAATATACTCAGTTTAAATCTGGAAGTCTCTCTCACATTTCCGAATTTCCTACCCTTTATCCCATCTCATAAAACATTTGCATTTCACATAAAACTCTTCATTAACTGCTCATCCTTTACATGTAAATTCTCCTCAATTTATCTATCTCCTATCACTCGAATAATAACAATTTCCTTGTGCCCTACATTAATGTAGGTAAAAAGAAATTTATGTCCATTTTTATTATTATTTTTTTTAGTTGGTATGTTTTTATGATCAGAAATATAGTAATAATGATATTAAGAAAAATGTAACTGTTTTTATACCATCATCTTTTGCATTATATAAAGTTATTATCTAAAGAATAAAAACATTTATAGATTGATTTGTCTTTCAACAGCGTGTAAATAACCTACTGAAAGTTTAATTTTAAATGATTTGTTTGGTGGGAATAGGCGAATAGCCTTCCGCTTTTATCAGGGAACTAGGTTATTTACAGTCATGATTATTAAAACAAATCCCCGGCACTGGATATAGACTTTTTTGAGGATGTTAACTGTCGTTGGGAATTCGGGAATCTAATACCTTTTGTGAAACTGAGTGAGAAGAAACAATAAGAATATATATTTGAAATGTCGGACTTAGTAAATACACTTTGAATGAATTGACTTAACCTGGTTTGTTATTCTTCAATCGTGAGGCATATAGGACAACTAAATAAATAAATGACTTTTCACTCCTGTATAACAAAATAATTTATTTTACAACTGTAATAAATTGACTCTATTAAGGTGTTATAACTATAGACTTGATCTTCTAAATCTTGTAGTAGACTCTCTTCCCAGGTGTGTGTTCCGCCTCAATGTCCAGCCTCAAGTCCGTCCTCCTCTCTTCTGACAACCTCCTTTCTACCTGTCCCGGCCTAGAATGCCTTCTCTTCTCTCTCGCTTTTGCTACCTGCTGGGTCCTTTCGGTACCTTCCACCTTCCTTCTTCATCGATTATTTGTTAATATGAGACATTTCAATGAATAATTTGTCCACTATACAATTGAGTACAATTCATCATGTAACCTCACATTCCTATATATTCCTTCTCATTCCCTCACACAATGTCAACTAAAGGAGTAAATACAGGGGGATGTCTACTACAAGTGTGTCAATATTGCAAAAACTAAAATTATTCATAAGGCAAAATAAACCATTTATGGACAAGATTTTCAGTACAATTTTTATTATATGCTTAAGACAAAAAATTAATGTTTTAAATGATGTTTATAATTTGAATTCCTGATTGACCAGGAAAGCTCAAACAGTACATTCAAACAAAATTGTCCTTACAAACTTTTGCAGAGTGGTTTTCTGTCTATTTTAAATCTTTTCAAAAACAAAATTTAGTGTTTTTTTTTTAATTATAACAGAAAAATCACTGAAAATTGCAGGTATATGCTGATGGATACAGCCCTCGGGAAATCGACTTCATGGTTGTAGAGCAGCATCCAACACTTCTTAATGTTACATTGTTCCCTGCTAAGGTGAGTCGCCGACCATGGCAACATGTTTGGAGTGGTGGTGGAAAAGCGCCCCCAGTAGTGGAAGAAGGAATTTTTGGTACAGGGGAAAGAGGGGATAGAATATTATTACAAAACACAGCTTCTGTTGTAAATCTTACTCCATTATTAACAGTGGGGGCCATCATGATTGGAATCGCTTAAATCAACTTGGTCCTTTATGTGTTCTTATTGATGGTCGCTTAGCAAAAACTATGAGCAATTTTATTTCAAAGACATAAGGAAGCTTATCTTATTGCGATTTTATGAATGTCAAATGACGTATATCTGTATTTTTGTTGCTGTATTGTTTTACCTTTATGAAAGACATTGTATCAAACAGTAAAGAAATATAATAAAATAAGACAGTACTGGAATTCAGTAGTCCAATTAAAATACAGCTGTTGTCATTACTTCATACAATAGGAGTTAAAATTTTGCTGCCAAAATTCGAGTTAAAATTTTAAAATGGGGTAAAAAAAAAGCAAGGTTTATTCAATAATAAAGTGGATATCAAATATATTTGAATTAAACTTGAAACAATATAGGGATTTTTTGTAAGATAGAGATTGAATTTATTTCATCTATGACATGTATTTCAGATGCCAGCATACAAAGAATTATCATTAAGAATCCACATTCCTCCTCTCTAGTTTTACAAAAAGCATATTATTTTGTTGGTCATGTAATTTGAATAATAAATAACACTGAGTTTCTTAGTCAATAGTATTTTAAACTGGTTCCATAAAACATTATCACAAACATGTTAGGGGCCAAGTTGAATTGCATGTTTCTTAGTAGAATATATTTATATGCAAATGTTTAACAAACTGGTGGAGGTGAATCATACTTATGTGAATGTAAAGATAATGTTAGTGAAAATTGAATTGCACAGTTTAGTCAGCAGAGATGCTGAAAAATATCCAATTTTAAAACAGAACTTTTGGAATTTCATGTTCTCAAAATCTTCTTTGTTTAAACAAATCATGGTTAACTGTATATTTAACTACAACAAACCAATCAGTTATTATTATGTTAAACCAAGGCTACTTAAATAACAGTTTACTATATATCTTATTAGCAATATAATATATATCTAAAACATCAATTTTAAAATATTTTAAAAATAGTTTCTGTTTATTATTCAGTTATACAACAAAATCTATGACCTAATTTTGCAGTTAAAAATGTGGAAATCATGAATATTTTTTTTTCTTTTAAGGATCCAAAGTAAAGGCTGCCATGATATAATGATTTAAACTTAACAAAGTTGAAATATGAAATTTTCATGAAGTCAAAGTAATTTTTCTCGAAGAAAATTTATATAGAAGAAATGCTAAATTATTCTAATGAACTTATTAAAATACTTAATGGCATGGAGATAGTTTACCGTAATTATAATTTGAGAAGGAACTGGTCAGGGGTGTGGTCAATATATAATACTATATCATACAATATTTTTATAGTATTTGTTAATGTTGAGTCACCCAACTGCTTCTGGCACTGCCAGATAAAACACCCTGAAGGAGACCTACAACTTAATAATAATAATACTTTATTTATTCTGGGACGAGTCCCTTTAGAATAATACAGGACAGAAATGTGGACTAAGGAATCTCAGAGATACAAAAACAAAAATACAAATTACAAATACAAAGGCACTCTATTCAAGCAATCTCTTCGAACAGGTTCTTTTCTTAGCCCTGATGAAGGCCTGAACTTCAGGTCGAAACGCTGGCAAATTTTAAAATAAATATTAAAAATACAAATTAAGTAAATAGTCTTAATAATAAAAAAAATTGTTGTTACTTTCTAACTTTAATCAATTAGTAATCAAAAATTGAAAAACATGAAGTAAAAATAATTAAGAAGGATTTAATAATTTATATACATATTTACATAAATATTGCGTGAACTGTATCCGGGTAATATAATTGAGATGATTTCATCCCAGTGAATCAAATGGGCTTGTAAAATTGTTGGGCTTAGTAACGAGAGAATTCATAAAATGTTAATATTTGCTGTACCGAATGGTTAATGTCCGAGTGGTAGACCAAAGCGAAGGTGGGAAGATTGCATCAAAGCCGATCTGAAGGGACTAGGTCTGGACGTCGAACAGTGGAGGGAGGTGTGTAATAAGGGAATGGTGGTGTCGTTATCGAAACTTCGGGTTCGCTAAGCCTTTTATTATTATTTATTTACATAAATATCTTTTTACAATTTTATGGGGACTAGATGGATAAGAAATGATTGAACAGGAGGGATTTAAAGGCAGGGAAGGTATTGGATTGACGGGTGTAGGAAGAGAAGGAGTTCCATAGGGATGTGGATCGCATAATGAACGATCTGTCTAAAGCAGCGGTTCGGTGGGCACTTGTGTATAAATCTGAAGACTGGGAACGCGTATTGCGAGAACAAACAGAGGACATAGGTCGAAATGATGGCAAATATAATCAAAATACTATGATATGATACAGTATTATATATTATATATATATATATATAAATAGTTATTCAAAAGACCAAATGATAAGTCAAAATATTAAGGGAATATCAATTCCTTTGGACCACCTTAAAAAAATAAATGATTATTTTATTTTATATTTTAAATCATATTGACGGCTTACTTATAAAACTTTGTAAGTATAACTTACTTATTGTATACTTACAAGATTTTAGATGTAAGCAATTGATGTGATAAAACAAAAACAATTTATTTTTTAAGTCAGATTAAGTAGAAAAAATATGAATAAAACCTTAATATGAAGTAATGGCTTTTTCAATTTTGGCATTACTCAATATAATAATTTACAAACTACTATTAGTATATAAAATATGTTTTTATCCAACTTATTATTTAAGCATTGATGAAAACTTAGTATATTCTATGCTTTTATATCATACGTATCCAGCTTTAATGAATTTTAAAACTATGAATAATTCCTGTAATCTTTCTGTAGCAACATGCTTCTTCACTGCCACTTAAAACAGTTTATGTGCACAAAAATAAACAATTTACTTTACTATGTGAATACAATGTAGAAATATTATTTTATTATCATACGGTTGCCTTTCTTAAAAGTTAAAAATATTGCTGAATAATATTATTCAGTGGATATCAATTGTCACTTTGCCTGTACCTAGTGCAACAATTATTTTGTTTGCACGTGTAAAATTGGCAGACATATTGGTTTTTTATAACTTAGGTCATATTTTATAGTTACTTTAAGAACTTACTTGAATTGCCAGATTTTCAGTCAATATGAATAATCTGTAATCAAAACTAATTTTCATGGTTACACAATATAAGAAACATTATAGGCAAAATCAAAGCCAAGAAACTAAAAGATGCCTTGTGGAACAAAGATACATTCCAGCATTAAATTATGTTTTCAATTGATATTTGTATAATTATTGGTAGTGGATTCCTAAGATAAATGATTCAATTGTGTCATTATTATTTTTATTTTTTATAAACTGTAGCTTAATGTATGTATATTTTCATCTCTGCGTATGATTAAAGTATATAGTGATAGAAAGTTACTAACATACATTTTTTAGTCATAAGGAATTATTAGTGTTAATATTATTTATCTCATTGAAAACTTAATGATTTGTTTTTCTATCAGATAAATATAAAACTGAACAATGCTTTAACGAAAGCAATGTTAAAATGAGATTATGCTATTATTAGTAATTCTGATAATTAATTTTTGATAAAATTTTAACTTAAAAACTTGTTTTAAAAATCTATCTGTGATATATCAGTATTGAATTAGTGCACTGGCCAAGGATATGATCAATTGAGATTATTCGATTGTCTGTGATTATCATATGTAAAATATCATTATATACATATTAGAATAAGCCAAATGTTATTTCATTATAATTATAGTAATATATGAAATTGTTATATAAACCCAAGTCTAATATGCCAAAATATAATAATTGATAGGAGGGTGACAAATGTTTTTAAATATCCATATCAGTTTATTATCGTGATTACAAACTCTGAAGTAGTAAATTATAGAGTTTCATTACTTGTCCTCTTTTATTATACTGTAGTCTTTTCTATATATTTAAAAATTATATACCCTATAAGTGGTAAATAGAAGAAATTTGAGGAGACTAGTTAAGAGTTATTGAAAGTTCACAACGTTATTCTTTGTTCTGATAATATATTTTCTGAATTGTTTTAATGATAACCATTGTGATAAAACTATAAAGATATGAAAATTTATTATGGTCAGATACCTTCTTTGGCCAGGCTAGAGTTGAACATTAATAAAATAAATCTTAATTAAATAAGAGTTGATAGAATTTTTAGTCCGGATCAAACAAAAAAAAAAAAAAAAAATGATTTTGGGAAGTAGAAAATATTAAAAATTTCAATAGTTTTTTAGAGCAAATAAGACCTATTCACAGGTATGTTCTTTTCTCGTATTTTCATTTGTTTCAATGATGTTTCCATTAATTTTGACAAATTTCAAGAGTCTAAATAGTTTCTATTCTCATCCAAATGTTTTAAAAGTGTTAATAATCATTTAATTCAATATTCTAAAGAAACATATCGCAAATATATAAAATTTTCGTTCATACTGTTTAAATATGGGGATTCAAATTAAACTAATCTCATATTTAATTAAAATGTATGCTTTATTCATTATTTATTTAGATTGAATACATTATTTTTTTTTAGCCTTGTATAAATTAATATTATAATTGGTGAATATTTGAAGTATTAATGAGAAAACTGATTTTTTTTAATGCAAAGTGATCTAGAAACAATAGCTAATGTAGAGCATTCTTATGTAATCTAAAGAATTTTCTTAGTTCTTCAAAAGTGAAAAAGTAAATAATATTGTAATCGGCAACCACAGGTATTTTCCCTCAAAGTGATATAAGAAAAGTCTTTTCCATAAGAAATAATTAATGAACAAAAATATAAATTAAAATTTTCTATAAAAATAAATTTAAAATTCATAAAACTAAAACCACCTCCAACTATTTATCATACAAAACAAGAATTTTATTAAACATAATACCTGAGAAATATTGATTATTAATTATTAATTAATTAGAAATATTTTTTTTTTTATACCTTCACCACAAAATTGTAGGTTTTTTATTATATCTCTATTATATAAAAACAATTTTAGTTACTTTCATATTTTATTTTCTAATCTTGACAAATTAAAATGCAGGGATTCTATCTACTATATAAAAAAGTTTTTATAAATTAAATGCTGGGATAAAGATTTTAAAATTTGTTTTTTCTGCTTATACTATTGTATTGAAAAATATAATACAATATACATAATACAAGTAAAGAATACATGTAAATTACAGTTATACAATTTGAGCAACGAATAGTACAATTAAATGAACAGTTGTATAATTTATAAAATGGGAGTTGGTCCGTTGTTAGGCGTACAACGGTTACCTCCCTAATTTATAACAAAAATGTAAATTATTTTTGGAGGTTTCAGTAATTATTAATAAGATTTTTATTTTATTTTTATACTGAGCAATTTCATTAATTTTTCTCTAGTTTTTAGTAATTCATTTAATATTGATTTACTTATATCCTTTTTAATTAATTTATTTTTTATGTTTATTCTAATTTTGTTTTTTTTTATTTATAGTTTTTGATTTACAGTTCTTAAAAATAAGTTTTAATTTTCTTTAATGACTAATTCTAATAAATTGATATTTTTTTTTTTTTAGTAATGAATATATAGATATTTAATTATGCTAATAAATCTTTAAGAATACAGTTTAAAAAGTTAATCCTGTTTTTCTTCTTTCAAATATTGAAAATATCGAGGTCCAAAATATCTATATTTTATGGGTATTTATTTATTATAACTATTGATACTATGTGTATCGGTATTATTGTTTGATATCTACATCCCTACTGTTTTCAATGATTAAAAATTGAAGATTTGATGTATATCAATATATCTGTCTGATATGTCAAAATACTATTTTGATATATTTGAAAAATATCGATACAACTCTAATCTTTACCAAGTGATATTTTGTTGTTAAGTTTTTATATTTAAATTATTTTGTCTGAAAAAATATGTAATTTTTAACAAACTTTGCCCAATACTGTCCCTAATTTACCTTATGATAAATGAAAAAATAAAATGCCCAAATCATTAAATATTGAATGATTTAAAAAAATAATATTGTTGATAGTTTGATATTAGAATGTTAGCATATTAAAAACCATTATATCAGACCAAAATGACGAATATTCTTCTATTTATCTCTTCATTCAAATAAATAAATATAAATATATATTTTTAAAAGTAGATTAGCGAATAGATTAGCCATTTAAAACTAATATAGAAAAGGCAGTGCAGTATTTCTAGTTCTATATTTTCTATTTTTTAACAATTTTTTATAGTAATCAGTTATTATATTATATTTAATGTCTTAAAATTATTGTAAAACATCAGGTTGAAATTTTAATCTTATAATGCAATTCTAAAAAATTGTGCCTCTTAGACTTGTTAGAATATTGTTTATTCTCTGTAGTTAGGAAAAATAGATTAGTCTGAAGTAAATATTTCTATGAGCCTTGTCATTTATGGAATTCTGTACAAAATCTTTTACAAAAACAAAATAATTAGCCAAATATGAATCATAATTACAATATTAGAGGTTGTTGATTGTCTTATTATTTTACTCTTCCTAAATTCAATAATTTAATAAGGTTTCAAACATGATATTTATTGAGAAATTTGGAGTAAGTGCATCTAGTTTTTTTCTTTTCTTTTTTTCCCCTATTCCTGAGATGATTATATTTAAGCCTACATTTCAATCACATCCATATTTATAATATTTTAATTTCAATTCAGAAGTATCAAATCATAAACAACATAGTGAAAGAGCTTTAGAAAAAACAATTTAGTAGTTAAAACATTTTCTTAATTTTTCAATATAATGCAATAAAAAAATATATATTTGTTTTATTATGTTGGAATTTTCATCGAGCTAGAACCCGGGACTCCTCCACTACAGCCAACCAATCTCCACAATCTTGTGCTATTTCCCCTCCATCTACCGACACCTAGCCACCTCAGATTGTTCTCCATATTCTCCAGCCATCTGATTCTCTACTTCAACTCAATATCTACTTCTCTTGACCTTTGTTTTCATATAGAGCATCTTCTTGGGATTCTTTGGTCAAGCGTTCTTTCCACATGTCCTATCCATCTTATTCGGGTTCTTTGTATAACAATACCAAAATCTAGGGTTCCCCAAACTGTTCCAGCAGCTCCTCATTCCTTCTTCAAATCCCATTCTCAGCGACTCCACCCTTTATTTTTCTCAACACTTTTCTCTCCCTGGAGTTGAGCATGGGTTTAGATTATCTGATTAAGGTTCACATCTGTAAAAAACCATTGTCCTTACTATGGTTTAGTAGATAAGAACTTTGACTTTTTTAGATAGTCAAGTTTCTAATCTCTTTCCAATGAGAAATATCATCTATTTCCTGCTGCTATCCTGACCTTTATTTCACTGTCTACTTTGGTGTCCTTGTCGTTAGATAGACGATTGTAGATGGTTCCTCCTGGATTTGTACTAATAGATCAAATAGCTACTTCCAGGACTAGATTAAAAAGAAGGAGAGATAGAGCATCGCCTTGTCTCAAGCCATTATCTACATTATAAATTCACTTTACTCATTGTATATTTTTAATTGTAACTGCTCTTTAACTACAGAAACTATTTTTCTAGGTTTTAAATAGATTTTATCAGGTTGCACCCCATGAAATATCAATTTAGGAGATAACATTAAGTTTAAAAACTACTGAATAAAATAAGAGTAAATTTACTAATGAATAAACTATTACTTTTAAATTATTATTTTCTATTAATGCATATTAAATAATAATTATGTAGAACAAAATATTTGTAAAAATAGGGGGTAAATATAACCAAAACCATCAGATATTAGTAAATATAGAATAAAATACACAAGAGATAATTAGAGTACTTAAAATAAGCTTGAGAAATATTATCTAACTTTAGTTTTCTTAAAGGTCAGTAATGGTCATGTTCAGGCACCTTTTAAACAAGATAAAATAAAGTTAACAACATTACGACTTTCATTCCAAGGCAATCACAAGTATATTAATAAGGACTTTTATTTTCCTACTAACTAAAGGGTGAGTACTTTAAACATTATAATTGTACATATTGTATATAAATAATTGCATACATATATTAAGATAAATAAAAATATATGTACTTATATTTCATGCATATGCATTTTCTATAAAAGTGATTCTTGATAATGGTACTTTTTCTTTCTTTTTTTCAGAATTAATAAAATAAAGTACAAAATTTAACTGGCTAAAATATTCTGATTTATTGAAAACTAATACCAGCAGTTGTTTCTTTACTGTTAATAATTTGTGTAACTGAAAGCATGACTTTGCATGATATATTTAACTTTCATTTTCAAAATTTTAATTAATGAATAAAAAACATTATTACAATCTTATTGGAAGATATCGGAACAAAGCTTTAAGCCTCTCAAATGTAGGTAAACAATTAATCTGTCAATTTTTAACTGATTGAGGTATCATAAGTATTTAAAATCATATAACCACATAAATGCAGATTTTATATTTTTTATTTCCATTAGAATTAGTGAACAGTTTATCAGTTTATCACTAAAGGCTCAAGACATTGTAACAAAATCTTCCAATAATTCAAAATTTATCTTATGCACTAAAAAAAATGTAATAACATTTAAAAATAATCCATTTTACCAAAAATCTTTATTTCAGGTTTTCAGAACAGTAAGCTCATTCATTAAATCTATAAAAATGATCATTTATCACAAAATTTCAAACCTATTAATTTATTTATTACACGTTCTAGTTGAATATGTAATACTTAACATTTCAGGTATGAGGAATAAGTGAAAATAATACTCCTTATGTTAAGTTAATTAAAAAAAAACATCTGTACTACTACAACCCTCTTATTAGATTCAGTACTTTGTAAGGAAGTATCATTTCTTGTTCAATGGTTAAGAAAGGAAGTGATTTGAACATGGTGGTGTTCAACTGCCAGGTTTTCCCACTTAATTATTTAATTAAGAGTATTCAATTATTGAGGCTGGGTATCTGGGTGTTAATACATGGCTGATGTGACAGAAAGATAATACCTGACGTAACTAGACTCGAACATGGGACCCGAAGTATTCAACAGTGTTTTACTCACTGAGCTATCTTACACTATCAATGAAAAATATCCCAAGAATATTCTAAGCAAAAATTATTAAATCACAAAGCACTTTAATAACGCGGAAGTTTTTTTGGTAAAGCAAAAGGACAATGTAATGAACATCGAGGTGAATAGGTTTTTTGCTCCTGTAAAACTTGGTTGAATGAACTTTGTGAGCTGATTTCCTTTATTCATTTTCTGCAAAAAAGTTTCTTTATAAAATAGTCTATGTTGGTCATTATGATACAGTACAGCTGTGCTGTGGTTTGGATTATGCTGTCCCATGACTCAGTGTTCCCGGATAATACAAATTTAATGAAGAAATATGTAGAAAACAGAATAGATTTACTGGTTTTCACATTCTTCTCCTCATGAATTATATTAAAATAAAAAATAATTAATATTAACCTGTACCACTACAGCCCATGAAGGGTCTTAGGTGCAGTACTATGTGAGGAAGTACTTTTACAAGGCCAATGGTTGTGCAAGGAGGTGATGGGGCCGATATTACTCTCAACCGCCAGATTTTCCCCCTTAATTATTTTTTTAATTATAGGTGCCCACTTTGTAGAGGCTGGGTGTGCCACGGGAGGGTCTCCCGAGTCCAGGATCGATCCACGGCTAATGAAAAATTACTAGTCATTAGCTGGATTCGAACCTAGGACCTTGAGCTATGGAAAACAGTGCTCACCTACTGAGCTACACAATTAATATGTTATTTTAAATTATTTTAAAGAAACCACTATGCTTAGGCTAATTAAATCACAGACTAACACTATTAAGACAACATTCCAAATTAAAAACAAAACAGAATTTAAGTATTTACACATATCTTTGTTAAAACCTCTTTGGACTCATGGACTACAAATATTGCAAAACCAACTCACATAAAATGACTTCAAACTTTTCAGTCTAAGATACTGTGATTGATTACCATAGTACGTTAATAACAATACTTTACAGTCAATGAACACATACGAACTTACTACAAAAGATTTCATAATCAATTAAATGGACATTCCTCCCAGCTAATAAAAGAAATGGCCACAACTGTTATGACAGAGAACTCCAGAAAACGAGCGAAAAGGGTCTGGATAAGGGATCTACTTGCATAATGTTGTAGTAAACAAAAGCCATGATAATGATAATGGGTACCACTGGTTATTAAATTTTTTTCTCATGATTAAGCCAGCTCATCAGCTGATTGTCTATAGTTGTAATAGACAGGAGGTGATAGATAAATAAAAGTGCCACAAAAAAAAGCTATGCATGCGGTAGGTCATTGTGTGCACTGGAGGGATAAAAATGATTATTCAATTTTCCCCAAATATATATAGACAATACATAAGATATTTAATTGTTTAATATTATAATTTTCAGAGGCAGGATAATGGGTTCTATAGGCCGCATCATCAACAACAACAACAACAACATTTCTACCATCATGTGCCTCAACACTCAAAGCCGGGTGGTTCCGAATCAGGCATCTTTTCATCTCTTACTTCTGGTTTCAACAACTTTGTCAACAATATATTTGGATGAAAACCTTTATTAAAGCATTATAAAAATGAGCAGGATTGACCTCAATAAAAGAAAAGATTTTATAGTAATGGAAATGGGCAGAATCCATGTTCCAATGTCAAATGTATCTCAATAATTTATTTATGTATTGTATATTTATAATGCAATAATTTATTATAAATTTCAATGTAAATATAATTGTAATTTTTAGGTGATTAAATCCATTAGATTACTTTTATTATTGAAATATTGTAAAAAATATTTTGTATGAAAAGAACATTTGTATGTAGATTAGACATTTAATTTATTGAAAATTCATTTAGAATAACTAATTGTATTCTAAATGTTGTTATTATTATATTATTTATTTAAATATCTTCATTCAGATCTGACAATAAAATGAATTTTAAACTCTTTAAGTTTTCTATTGAAAGACTGAATAGTAAAATACATGTATCAAATACAAATATACAGAAATATTTTCATGAATTTTTTGTATTAAGTGTTATTCCAGACATGTGATAAAATTTAACAAGCTATGACAAAATATTGCTTCACTCACAAAAAAATTTGTAAATTAAAATATTTTAAATAAATATTTTTTTTTCCTTAAAAAAATGTAATTTATAAACACATAAGTGATTGGTCTAATTTCAAAGAAAGACATGTCATTTTCAGAAAGTGGACAAAAAGTAAATTTTTGTTTTATTGTTTCAACTTAATCTGTTTCTGATGTTTTATTTAAGAATATTCATGTTGAATCATAAAACAAAGTAATTAGAATTGGTTTAAATTGAGGCTATATTCCAAAAATCAGCTTTTCCTCGACTGTTTATGAATGACAAATGTCTGCTTTGATATGAAGCCACTAATGTAATTCATTGAGTAGGAATTCATTAAGTCGAACCATTTATTTATCATTAATATGAAATCACCTGTATCTTCCGCTAGTTTTTTATTTCCTACGTGATACCTCTTCAAAGCAGTTCCAATACCATGAGAAAATAGTTCTGCTGCCAACCTTACGCTCTGGCATTGTGTTTTTTCACAATATACATGAACTTGATTAAGTTTATAACATGAAGAAATTTCAGTTAACCTAACATCAAGCAAATCTAACACTAGCTGCTTTGAAATAATTTCTCCATTTTTTAAAATGCAACCCTCATCTAAGAACCAATTCCTGATTAACTTTAACAGGTGTGGGACATCAGCAAAAACAATTTTTTTTCAATTTATCACAAGGGTTAATAAAAAATGTATTATCTATAGCAATTCCCAATTGTGTCCAAAGTCCGCGGTTTCCACCTCCACAGTCGCTAACGCAAGCACAAACGATGAAGCCAATTTCGTTTAATAATTTAATACCTTCCATTAAAATGTCTGCAGTAACCTTTTGGTCAAAACCTACATAAATTGGTTGCTTCCAATTTGATGTAAGCCCTCTCGCCATGATCACTTGGCATTTGAGAGTAAGGACCAATTACTTGGTCTTTCACATTATAATATTCATACATTGATGAAACTTTCATTTCATCAAATTGTATAACTGTCAGTTTTTCGAGGTCAGTCATAGTTAATGTTTTGACTTTCATAAGTCTAATTACATCATAGAGGAACTCTTTGTTAAAATATATTTTGCTTGCCCACCTTCTAAGAAAGGAAAGGCCAGGCAATGGGTAATTCAGTTGGCTTCTTAAAAACGAATAACATTTTATAATGAAGTATCTTATCGCAAACGCATTCGAAATTTCTGTACTGTTCCAACAAACTGATTGCCTTTTTTTAAAAATTAAATTTAGTTATTTTCCGATAAAATGCCTTGAAGTATAGATTTTACTTGAGGCTCGCATCTCTCTTTTTCTGTTTTTATTAGACCACTTAGTTTCTTTTCGGCCTCTTCTTGAAATTGCTTAAATTTAAAAGATCCAGTTTCTATGGTATTTTTTAACATTTCATTTTCCAACAACAGTTGATCTATTATTTTTTGTTCTACTGTTCTTTCTTCAGTATCTATGTTTTAAATTGTCTCCACACTGGTTTCCTCCGATTGTATGGGGCACTAAAACAATGAAAGTAGGCTAATGATGTTTAAAATTTGAATTAAGGAAATATATTTTCTTAATTATTTGAAGGTATGAATGTTCATTAAAATTTTGAAGGGGAGCATTAAATAAGGCAAGTAATTATCAAAAGTATTGTGTGTGTGTGTGTGTGAGAATTTGAGGAAAATATTTACCAATTCCGTTTGTTGTAATATGTTTTGGACAAAGAGTTCTGTTCCTTTACTTTCTTACGTGCGGATCTTGAAATTTGAGAATTACTTCTTATTTTATTGTCAAGGTTAAGAGTTGGAATTGCTGAAACAAATTTAAACTTATAATAAAATGACTAGATACGTTATAACATCCAAAGATCAAAATTTTACCATTTTTTTAAGTTGCTTTTTGTGCTGAAGGCCGAGCAATTCTGCTTTTAAATCTCTTACAAAACAATCATCTAAAAAGTGCGCTGAGCAAATGCAAGAAGTAGCTGGATTAAATGACTTATCAGCTCGCTTACATTTTAAAATCCAATCTTTTATTCGAGCGCCCTTTGGAAAAGTATGGAATGAAACTTTCTTTCCCATCTTCTTTGCGTCAATTAAATTATTGTAGCAAGATGCAACTGCGCATCTTGTACCTGTCATTCTATAAGATTCTATTAATAATTATGTTATTAGAAGAAATATAAGAAATACTAGTAAGAACAAACGAATTCTCTGTAACATGTTATTAAAAAGAAAAAAGAAATACTCGTTATATTATTTTAGAGACGGATAAGTAGTTGACTTAAGATTATAAGGCGAAAATAAATTACCAGGATTTGCAGTAAAAATTTGTTTATTTTTTAAATGAAATTTGTTTATCTAAATAAATTTTGACTGAAAATTCTGACAAAGATCTTCACCCTTATAATATTATTATAATATCGTTGTAATATTAAAAGAAATACACACGAGATCTAAAAACAAAATTACACAAACATTGTGCTAAAATGTTCTCTAAATAAATATAAATCTTAGTTTTTTCTATTTAGGTAATATATTTGTATATTATTTACAGAGATTTTTAAATAAAGAGTTTAAAAATAATCTTAATATCAATTTCGTTCTTATTGTCCGAGATCTAGTCTTTAATTTTCATAACATTTTATTCTAGGTTGTTTGTCGTATTTATTGATTTACCTGCTTAAAATTATCTTCAATTAAACGTCAAGCACACAGAAAAATATTCTTTTCAATAAATTACCCCAGTAAAACTAAAAAAAAACAACACATTAATATTCAAATAAACCTCCAATGATAGGATCGAAAGAACAATAGGAAGGTTAGATAGTCTAGTGGCTACGTCACAATGCAAGTTCCCCAACCACGCATTTCTGAGTGAGCGAATTTGGTAGTTTTATTGACCTTGCCCCCCCGGAATTTCTTTATTACAAAATACAATATATATAAATGTTATATATACATAATTTTTTTAATTTCCTTTTATTGCCCAAGGGCATTTTAAGGTAAAAGGGCTATGCACGCTGTATGCGTACTTTGCATCTGTGACCAGAGGCCTTTTATTATACCACGGGGCGTGCAATTAAGTTTTTACTTTCTATCAATATTTATTTCTGTTTTTAAGATTGAAAATTCAGTGGGAATGTATTTCCTTATTTTTACTTTTTTTTGTAACCTTCAGCTGGAATCCAACAGGTCGTTCCTAAACTCAGCATAATTCACTGTTTAAGTTTTCCATTGATTTGATTGATGGAATTGGTGCTGAGTATAAGAACTTGCATAATTTTAACTACAAAATCTTTTCTATTAATTTTCTAGTTTAAACATAGATTTTTCTGGTTGCCTCTCACTAAATGTCAACATCCGGAGTTATAAATAAAGTTTAAAAACAATACCAGCAATTAGAAACTCTGAATTAGATTCTAATATCTTTTTAAAAATTGTGATTTCACAAAAAGAATTAGGATACATACTTCATCTGTGGTTTTAAGCCAACTTTTTGTTTGCTTGAGGGTTTGAAAGGCTTTCAGTCTAAATAAAAATTCTGTTTATGTATTTGTACTTCATAGCTACCTTATTTATAGCAGACATCTATCTACAACCATTATCGGGATAAAATCTGGCAAATAACTTTATTTGGAGAGTAAAAGTGTTTTTGAAAAGCTTTTTAGAATAAAATAATTTGATCAGAAGTGTATAACTGATGTACATGTAAAATAAAAGGAACACTATTCTTATAAAACACTTATATTTACAAAAACGAGTAGAAATTATAAAAAATTTAAAAAATTACATATTTCAAAATCATTCCTTCTCGGGAAGCTTAATTTTTGATCTAGCGAGATAAAATGCACCAACAAGCGCACTAAGCTGAATCCTTTCCATAGTACCGTGCGTTAATCGTTCTTCAATTTCAGCCATTTTTATAAGTAGCTCTATCAGGACTTCAGGAGGAAGCTCAACTGCAAATGAAAACCAGAAAAAATAATAAATTTTGAAATTCTTAATTTTTTTTTTTTTAAAATAATGTAACATCACATCAAATAGACTGAATTAATACTCACTTCGATGAATGTAACTGTGGACTTCTTGTATAATATCAGGTAATGCCAATCCTTTCGTAATTTGCAATTCAAGTATCACTGAAAATGATTGTATTTTAATGTCCATCAAAAGTAAAATTTAAAAAAAAAAAATCAATTTTTTTAATTTTCTATGAATGATCTATATTTTCTAAATGCAAAGTCAATGTATCGTACTAAAAATGGGACAAAATGCAAACATTAGTTCTGAAATTATTGTTGCAACTAAATTTTATTTAAATCCATCTTATCATGTCAAATTCAGTTAGCCTCACTCGTGTTATTTACAGGGTGTATACAAAAAAATGACCGTTTTTCAAACAAATAGTTGTAATATTATTTCTTTGATATAAAATACAATTAATACTCAAAATATAGTCCACTTTTATCTATCGTCATTAGCCAACTGCTGGCACTATTCTTTGGGATGGATGTCAAATAACTCTTGGACTGCAATTTCAACTTCCTCAAAATTATCAATTTTTTTTCATTGAAGAAAATAGACCATGGATCTAAATAAGTAGTAATCTGATCATGGTGGGAGGTCTGGAATATATGGTGGATAAGGAAGGAGTCTCATATCAGAAGGGTTTTTCAATAAATTTTCACAAATTTCTAACCTCTTAGCTGATTGCTGAGGAGTAAGTTTGTAAGGAACCAGTACACTGCTCCTTTTTACCTTCCCCATGGAGAGTAGATGGCGACTAACAGAATCTTTCAACACAACACACTTCCTGGAAAGTTAGCAAATGCTCTTGGACGGATTTGACTCAACAGCTTCCTGCAGAACCTCATCAATATCCATTAATGGTCGCCCAGAGCCCTTCTTCCTTTCCTATGTATCTCCACTGCTAAATTTTAAATCCAATGCAGGGCAGTGCGCTGATCAAGGACACCTTCCCCTTCATATTTAATAATTTCAAGAGTTGCTTCAGCGGCTGTGAAATTTTTTTCCCAGTAATGTCTTATATATATATATTCTAATATATATAGAATTTCGTAGGACACTGTCGTGTTTCTCCTTTGAAACAAATAACTAAACTGAGGCTTTGAGGAAGAAATTGAATTAAACAGGCTTAGAGAATGCACTAAAGGGATTATTAAGTATTGGTAAGTATTAAATGGGATTAAAATATTTAGTCCTTTGAAATCTTGAATTTGATAAAACGGTCATTTTTTTTTTATACACCCTGTTACTTTCTACAGGTGTGTACGTCGTATAGAGGACGGGAACTGAAAGAAGTCGTGCCTAGCCTGAGGGCCTTAACCGGACTCTTTCCTATCCCTGAACTGTTACTTTCTGCAGTAAAAAATTACCATTATGAGAAGGAGGTGGTTGGGAGATGCGGTCAAATGAATACTATATATCAAAATAGTATTTTATTATTTACGCCGATGTTTCGACTCACTTTGTAGTACTTCATCAGGGCGTTGAATCAGGCACTACAGGAAGCAGTTGGTAGACTCGTAGACTCAGTCTACCAACTGCTTCCTGCAGTGCCCAATACCATGATGCTCTGATGAAGACCTACAAAGTGAGTCGAAACATCGGCATAAACAATAAAATAATATTTTGATATATAGTATTCATTTGACCGCACCCCCGACCAACTCCTCATATTATCATCACGGTCAACCATCTCTACGCAATTAAGAAATGATCAAGTTAGTCTATTGAACATTCACAATTGGTGAAGCATCATTCTTTACCACGATTGTTAATGTAACAAATTATTTAATAAGTGATTAGCTAATCTCATTGGAGAATATCCTTCCAGTTTAATAGTTATCCATCATCCAAAGTGACCAACGAATGGAGTAATTCTCCTCCATTTAATTTCTTTCAATAGATTTTTAGTTTATCAAAGGCTATCATAAATAGCAAATATTATAATTTTTAAAACCTAAACATGTGATAAGTATGCCGTGGAAACCATAGGATCTAAGAGGCTTTCAGCAAGGATTATCAATTATGAGATCAAAAAACAATGTAAATAAATGCAACAATAAGTTCAAACGACTGTGCCAGTGGTTTCAAGTTGAAGTAAACAGTTGAATAGGTAAAAGACCAATTTTAGACAACACTGCCTGATCTAAAAATCGGGTAGTGAGATATGAGCGTAGCAAATATACGGCTGTAGATAAATGGCTTTTCTTTCTCCAAAGTAGTAGAAGGAAGAGTATAAGAATTTTCTTCCAATATCCGATCCTCCACTACTCTTAATATAACACATGCTTTTTCCTGAGTTTTCCACAAAAGCAAGCTGTAAACCAGTATTTGTTTATTTTTATCATAAGCAATACAACGTGGATGGCCTTAGTGCTACATATACTGAGTGGGAAGTAATGATAGAACTATTTGCAGTTTTCAAAACACTTGTTTTGACCATATTTTACCTTCTTATAAACTGAAATTGTGATTAAAGTATGTGTGAACTAGAGTCGAAAAAGCACAATACTAAAGAGTATAAGCACTCCTACCTCACTACTCAATTCATCAGATCAGTTAGTGCCATCTAAGCTAAAGCAAAATGCTTTTTAATTTTTTTAGTATAATATTAATAGATCACATTTTTGCGTTTTTATTTCTGGACTACGAGAGAAGTAGCATTTTGTTTTCTATTTATCGCCATAATTTCTCAACAATATGTAAGATACTTAAAAGTAAGAGAAACCATTAATACTTACTGTTGTAAGCAGTAGTAAAATCTGAATTCAACAGCCAATTGATAACGTTTGACATATCAGTAGGGGTTGGATGACCAACGCAAGTATAAACGTTATCTTCATTCACCTCTGGAAAAGCTGTTGCAGTTCCTTGTAAAATATTCAATACTTTTCTCATGTCACCACTCCCTAGTTCCATAAGAGCTTTCTTACCACCTTCTGTAACTTTAACTCTAAAAAGAATTGTTGAATAGTAATGACATATAATCTATAATAATAATAATTGAAAATTGCCTATTAAATTACTTTTCTTGTTCAATGACGTATTCTAAGCGAGGTTGGATCTGTTTTGGATCAAGAGGACCAAATCTGAACCTAGTACAACGTGACTGCAAAGCTGGAATTATTTTGCCCAAATAGTTGCATATCATGCAGAACCTCACATTATCAGTATATTTTTCAATAACTATAAAAAACAAAAAATTAAACTAATTGAAAAAAAGAAATAGAAAAGAAAACTTAAGTGTTAAATACACATAATATTCAATCCTACTTCTCCTTAAAGCATTTTGAGCATCATTGGTCATGGCGTCGGCTTCATCAAGGATTATAAGTTTATATCCTTTGTTGAAAATTGTTCGAGTACTGGCAAAATTAAGTATTTGTCCTCGAACCACACCAATGCCTCTATCGTCTGATGCATTTAATTCCATTACCTATTAATTGATACAGATAAAAATACATATTAGGAAACATTAAAAAAATTAAATTAACAAAACCAGTTTCAATATATTACTTTCGAATATTCGTAATCAATCATGAACTGATATAAAAATCAAACTGATCTGTGATAGTTATAATAGCATAATTTTTCACAAATTAAATAATAAATCATAAAGAACATGACTGTCTTCAAATCAAAATACATCGTTATGTTATGACACGAGTAAGTGTTTCAAGTAAAATATATTCTTGTTGGACTTTGTACTATGAAAATCTATAAAAACATTTTATGAACATCAAAAGCTATTATACTAAAAATATAGTATATAGAAGATCAACCAATTGAAGTTTCCACAACACCCATCAGATGACATTTTCATATCTATTTATATAGAGTACAAATATTAATTCTTTAATTCAAATTGTCCAAAAGTTATTTTATATGACACTTGATATATGCATAGTGACTAACTGTTCCATAGAAATTCCTATTGTCATGAGTTAACAGTATCGGTATAAGGAAATATGTATTGAAAAGCAATGTAAATGGTATTATATCAATCTACCGGTAACTTTTCATTTGTAGATTTTTGATATAACTATAAAATAGTTTATCAGTTATAATTCTCATTTGGTTGAATTTCACAATTGACTAATTTTGAATAATTAAGATAATCCCTCACTGAAGACAAATATCAGTAAAAACACGTCATGAGATAGTTTTCACTATTTAATTTTTCAAAAAAAAAAAACAAAAAAAATTAAAAAATAATGGTATTTTGAAAGCTTGATTGTCTCAATGATGGATAAGTGATAATGATAACAGGTTGCCTTCTCAGTTAATTCGTTGATAACCATTCGGTGATAACAGTAAAAAGCAATTAAACTCAAAAGACTTTATTCATTTCATGAATTTTGCTCCTACATTAGCAATTCTATAAAATATAAACAAACCATAGAGTTGAATTGTCCTTTGGGGTAGAGTTTTCTCGCACAAGCAAGAATCGTGGTTGTTTTTCCTGTTCCAGGAGGGCCATAGAATAATAAATGAGGCAACTGTTCTTCATTGATAAACCTGGTGACTGTGATTTACAATTTTAGAATATGACCAGTCAATAAACAATTTAAAACAGTATAATGGTTTCATAACATACTTGTTTTGATGATATCTTCATGAGAAATTAAATCATCTAAGGTGCTTGGACGATATTTTTCAACCCTTCAAACAAAATATTACTGTAAATATAGATTGTAAAATAAAAATAATTAAAATTAATGAATAAATAATGACACACCATGGTAAATTTTTAGTTTTGGTATCATCCTTTGCCGTTACCATATTTGAAATTTAAATGATGATAAAATTATAAACAATATTAATATATATTCAATATTGAATTTCAAATTATAGAGAAAAGTTAATTCATGTTATAGACCAAGACAGGACTTGTAACCACAAATGTAACCTCTTTCCCTCCAAGTATTCTAGATGCCTCCGTACATTCCTAAAATGATATAATTATATTGTAATAAAAATAGTTATAAAGTATACTTCGTGGAAATGTAATGGTATACAATTATTTAAAAATATTTACACAATTCATCGTTTTTCAGATATAAAATTCTAATTAATTTTTTTTTCGCGCTTTTACCATAATTTATTTATGGAGATGCGCGGTTGTTTGGATCTACAACTGAATTTTAATACTTTTATCCTAGTTTTCCAGAAATTTGTCTCTTTATAACGGTATAGATATAAATAATTGTGAAGGCTAACGTTTAGACAATAACAGTATATCTTTTTAAGTTCAAAGATTTATTTTTTAGCTAACAATATATTTTTTATTATGTTGGTATTACCTACTATTTTATATGAATAGCGTAGTGTTTTTTGAAAATTGCATTGTCTGTCCATCTCAGAAGTTGATTTCATCAAATGTAAGTACAGTTTTATGGAATAAATTATCTATTATGTGATAACTTTGTTTATTTCAATATTCAAGAGATAAGAATCTACTTATCTATTATATACTTTTCCTTAAATCATTAGCAGAAGGCCCAAAACAGTTATTAACTTAAGTCTCATATTGAAACTGCACAAGAGACAAGCTATAAGTAATTAAATTTGGACTTGACTAAAAACAGAACAAAACATATATTATTACTTTACATTTTACTTTGTGTTTTGTATGGAAGAGATATTTATTACTTTTTTCTTTTGTGTATTCAGGAAATTTCAGTATGAAAAAATATAGTATAGTTTATTAAATACAGTTACATTTAATTTGCATTGTTTTTCTTTTTAAATTATGGAATCGATTAAAGTGTGTATTTGTTAAGATGTGTGTATAGATTTTATAATTAAAAAATGTGTATCCGGTTTCTCCATATTCTACTGATTGAATTTTATATAAATTCGTATGGTAATATTTGATAAAACTTAAGTATTAAATGCAACATATTATGAGAAGGGGGAGATTTTTTTTCTTAGTCGCTTACATGGTTCATTATTGAAAATAAAACAAACATATGAACAAAGTTCAATAGACTGTATCTTTACTAATAATGGTCGAAATTCATTAAGTTTTTTTTATAGTTTTTTAGGGAATTTAGAAGAACTATTCTATCATTCTACACACACTTTTTGAGTTATGTGCAAATAAAGTTTCTGTATAACTTTTTTCTTAATGTTTCTGAGCAATTAGCTTATTTTTCGTTATTAAGGGAGAATATAATCTTTAAAATGAAAGCTCATTCATTGGATTTAATGAATCATTAAAATTAAATTACCGACAAAAACAGACTTTTGAGAAATAATACTTGGGTATAAAGTTAGGTTGGTACTGTGATGCTGCTCTAGTCCACACAGAAACTCATTCACTTTTAATTAGGTTTTCAAATAATGAGAAAACTACACATCTCCAGGAACATATCTGTTACTAATTTGAAGGATAGTAAAATTTTATATGGAGCTCAGGTTAATATTTATTAGTATCTCTAAACCCTTTTTCGTGCATTATGTCGAAAACAGAAAATTGTAAGGTTTTGTTCAGAACCAGTTTTGAAGCCTATTAATATGTTTAGATTAATTATCTATATACAGATTTTTTAAATGAAAACAAAAATTGAAAATCTGAATAACCATCCCTCAAATAAAATTCTAAATCCAACGGTAACCTATTCATGGGTTACAGTTAAATTTAGCCTCATATCCATAAGCGCAGATTTTTCATTCATGTTGGGGGCGGGGATGTACTCTATGTAACCAATAAAACTCTACATCATGACCTTAATATCCCATTTATCCTAGCCATATCCCTGAAAATTTTTACAAACTCCATCAGAACCTTCAAATCATCCAAATATCCTTGCACAATTCCTATCTAGTTCCACACATCCCTACAATCCTATTCGAAGGTTGAAGCGGCAATGGCCCAGAGATCTTTTGTAGTATATATCTTGGAGTTCTGGCAATGGCCAGATTCTCCACTCAAAACATGAGTGTATGTGGCTAAAGCGCTCTGGCTCAGTCTCCACTGGCTTTTGGTCCAGTGACGCGGTGAGTAGCGCAGGGATCTCTGGGAGTCCTGCTTTTCCTTCTATAGTTAGAGGGACAAGCCTGGCTTGGGGTTCCCTGCCTGATTGTATATAGGTATGATTGAGTTTTTAATTTACTTTATTTTTATTTTTTATTGTATATAGTTATTGATTATTATTTAGTTATTATTTTGTTAATTTTATATTTTCTGTATATATGGTGTGAATGTTCATATCTCACTATAATTATTGTCCACGTGACAGATCATTATATTTGTAAATAAATAAATTAAAAAATAAAAATGGACGGGTACACATGAATGAATCATAAAATTCTAGGATATTTTGTTTCATATGTTTTTTTTAATATAAAGTAAAATTTCATTGATAGGAACTTAGGGCGTGGTAATGTACTTGCGTACCTACTTCTATACCTTGGCTTAACCATCTATTCGACTTATTTTCTTAGTTGATTTTAGTTTACGTGTTTTATTCATTCGTGTAGATTAAGTATGGTTACCATTTTATTGTAGACCTCTCGTGTAATGCGTGATTCACAATCATTTCGGTCATACTTGTTCATGGACTGCCGAATGCATCCGGGTTTATCCGAAATACTGTGTTCATGAACAAGTGTGACCGAAGTGATTGTGAACCATGCAGTCCTAATCTAAATAATTACCTTAATTGTTATTTTTATTTTTATTTTATTTTTGTTCTTCGGAATCTTGTGGGTGGTGGAGGAGCGTGAAATTATAGGATTAATAAAATAATATATGTGGAGATGTTTTTGTTTATTATTTTCAATGACAACCATTGTAAGCGACCGAAATAAGAATAAGAATTTCTCTCTTAACATAATGCAATGGATTTATTTATTTCCATTTTTTTCACTGACCGACACTAGCGGATCCAGGATTTAATTTTGGGGGAGGCTTCAGCCCGAAAGATTTTTTTTTTTTTCATATATGTAACGATAATTATTATTTTTTTTTAAAAAGAAAGAAATTAACTACCTGTACGAACAAGAATACTTTAAGAGATAGTTTTTAATATTTTTTCCTGTAAAACATGGTTATACTTTACCATTTTGAGGCTTCAGCCCGAAGCCCTTCCCCCCCCCTCCCGTAGATCCTCCTGTGCTGACCGATGTATTGTGCGAACTCGCAGAGGCCAACTAATCGTCATTATAAAAATTAATACTATTGTTGAAATTTCTTCTTGAACTATATTATATTCCGCTTGAGAAACCTAAAAGAAAGAAAAAGTGTTTGAAATATTCCGAACCATTATCTCCTCCAGGAAACTTTACATGTAAAAAGTGAAGTGCCCTTCGAAAGTATGTTTTTAAACAAAAAACGTGATGTGAATACCAATAGTTTCTCATTGACATAGAAAAAGACTTCCTTTGAGCTGAGGATTCGTAAACAGGTTTAAACCTATTGTCGCTTCATTAAAGGGTTATTGTTTCTTTCCATTTTAATTTTTTTTTTCCTTAGTCTGCTAAACGTATGGTGCCGAAATACTGTTCTTTTACTAAGTTCAGCTGTTTATGTCTGGAATCATTACTATTAGAACGTGTAATGAAATTATTGATTTATTTACGGGAAGATTATTTTTCTTCCTTAATACCGAAGGTAATGGAAATTTTCATTCGCCTTATAACTTTTTGAAATGAAAATTTCTTTAGGCACGTTTTGCACTTTTTTGTGAAGAGTGAATTAGATCAATCTGTCAGATTTCGTTCGACATTAACGCTCGGGTAAAGTCGGCTAGATTCGACTAATTAAAATATTTTTACTTATGGATTAAAATATCTTATAAACTATAAATCGAACCTGCATACTGTAAGCGAGGGAATCGTTCATTATTTCATTCTCTCTGTAATAAGCTATAATTCAAAATTGTATATTGACGAGACGCCTTGTTGTTAGGGAGCCAAAAAGAAAATTATTGTGTTAAAAACCAAATAAGGTCAGTTGAGAATATGGATTAAAATTTTTCAGAAACTAAAAATCGGACCTCCATACTGTAAGCGAGGGAATTGTTCAGCACTTAATCCTGTTTATAATGAGCTATTATTTATAATTTATATTTCATATTATTAATCTCGCCTTTTTGATGTTTTCACTTATATCGTGTGAGCTAAAGCAACCACCTTAGTTTTTCTATACGGAGTTTTCCAGGTCCAGAGGAGATGGGGGTGGATTTAAACCGAATTTAAAAGTCCCCCTGGCAACGAGATTTAAACTCGTAATCTTCGATTCATCAAGGTTTCCGGGCAACGTGTATACTACTTACCCGTTAGTCCACACCACAGGTGGATCTACGGGAGGAGGCTTTCGGCTGAAGCCCCTCCAAAATGGGAAAATATACCTGTGTTTCACAGAAAAAAATATTAAAAACTATCTCTTAAAGTATTCTTGTTTGTGTAATTACATTTAATAGGACTAATAGGGGGCGAGAATATCGTTTCGCCTCCCTCAATAATTTGAAGTAAAAAAAATTAAAATTAATAAAAATGACATACTCGAATGAATAAAATATGTAAACTAAAATCGATTAAGACGATTCGATTAGCTGGCTAGACTAAGACCTTTAAGTAGGTACGTAAAATTAATTATATAGAAATATTTCTTATTCTTTTATGATTCATTCATTTCTCATGTATACACGCTTAAACCTCATTCATGACAGAAACTGTGCGGATTATTATATAAATGATCCTATATCAATTTCATCGAATTTCACCCATTTCTTTTGCTTTCACACACGCTAAGTATTATGATTCATATATTATCAAAATTGCTCGGTCAATTAGGCTCAAAGTTTGAGAGAATTTAGGGTTTAGTGAAAAAAAAAAATTAATTTTATCAAATTTCATCTCAGGAGAACGAAAAGATTTGACACAGAGATTGAGGTAATATCGACTATCA